CCCTTATAACAAATTAGATTACTCTAACATTTAAGTGGACATCCGAACTATGTAAGTATTTACTATTTTCGTCTCATTGAGAGTGACTAAGATGAAATAACAGGTTATAAACTCTTCACATAAGAGTAGTGCATTGTAAATATTAATAAACTCGAAATTAAGTAGGTACTACTTCTCAGTATAAGAAATAGAGAATTTGAACTTCCTAAAAAAATAGTTCTCTAGTTTATTTTCATCGTCCTAATAATAAAACGTCCTAAAAGTTTGTACTGAAATTGTTTACTTCTAGTTTAATATACTGCCCATACAGCACACATTATTTCAAAAGTGTTTCAGAAATATTTCAAACGTTTCAAACATATAACATTTCAAGCACAAGTTTCTGAAATATTTTTGAAATATTTTAGTTAAACGGTTATGTTGTAGAAGGCCAACACTTAATGAAGAATTTCTGATATGTAAGACGACAATAGGTTATGGTTATGTAGTTATTTTATTAATTTATTTCATCCTATGTCCAGCCAGAGACAACCCTATATTCTAAATAATTAGAGGTTTGCGTTGTCGGTTTTTGCCATTTACTTTTTTTGTTATTTATGCGTTGTGCTGTTATATTGGAAGCATAATATATCTTTAGAAATTGAGGTGAGTACTACAGAAATAATGCTTGTTGTTAATATTTATTTACTTTATCTCATTGAGACGAGTGACATCATTTCGTTTATCAAATTTACAGGCAGTTTTAGTCTTATTTTTAAGTTTGCTCGGGTTTCTTTAAAACGTGATGCTAACCGTCCGAGAACCAGTGGAACAGTTGAATTCCGAATTATTCGTTGCGTACAACTATTAAACTGTCAACTAGTCCTCAGATAGTTTTCAAATATAACCTACATTTGCTGTCCCTCCACCTAGTTTTAATTATTAATTCTACAGCTCTGATTCTTATAGTTAAGAAATTTAAAAGAATATTAATACAACTATTGTTAATCAAATAATTTGTGTCAAATCCTTTTTTAAATACCTATAATTTGTTTCGCATTAGTGCATTTAAAAGAATTTGTGAAAATGAAGCGATTCGCCTCTATATTTTATGAAATAATGTTTAATAGTTATTTATGGTACTAGTGTGTTATGTTGAAAATAAGTCACACGAGAAAGATTTATACCACGAGGCCGTCAGACCGAATGGTATAAATTCTCAAGTGACTTAGGAAATATAACATACGAGTGGCATACAATGTTTTATCCAACAAACAAGTGGAAGAACTCGTTTTTTTATGAGACAATAATTAATAAGTTTTGTGATCAAATCAAAGCTACTTGCGTTTCAGAATGACTTTACAGTGTGTCGGCGTCTTCCAGCACTATCAGCAGCTGTACCGATATGGGAGCGTCTGGATCCAATGAACCAACGAATTTTACAATGACTTTAAATTCGAATAAACCGTTAGCATTTTCCTTTAATTTCAATATCAATGTGAATTCTGCTTGTAATAGTAATAAATAGAATACTACTTTAAATAGGAACGTTCAATCCATCTCACTAGTGAGTTATATAATCCATAACTCACTAGTGAGTTATGGATTATAACACACTAGTGTGTTATTTGATAGTTTACTTGTCTAAAATGACATCAATAATGACAGTCATAACGGTCATGTGTTGAATAAAAAATATTTATTTATTTGTTTGTCAATGTTTGTGTTTTCTGTATTTAAAATAAACATGTATATTTTTAAATTTAAAAGATTTCAAATTTTCATTTCAGAAATATTACTGTGAAATATTATATTTACAGGATATTTTTATGTTTCAGGCACATTTCAGAAATGTTGCTGGGACATTACAAATGCTTCAATGTAAAATTTTTGAAATATTTCCGAAATGTGTTTGTGCTGTATGGGTGGTATTTAGTTTCTTATAAGAATAAACTATGAACATACACAATTTAAAACACGTGGGAAGTTGGTTCTTAGTTATCCTGGAAGGTTCAAGTGAATAAAATTGAAAGTGGTTACAACTATTAAGTTGACAAAACTAGGTAATAAATCTTTTTTTTTTAATTTTGTATTATTTAGTTGTAATTTTTATACCTCCTAAACCACCGACGCGTCTTAGGTCTTGTAATCTAAAGTCTAGGAAATACCATTTGCTTTCTTTATTGTTTAAATGTAAAATGGATGAAACAAAAAGTTACTAGATTAGGATGTTGCCAATATGAGATGTGTTTCTTTTGTTGCATTATCAAGAAATAAACAGTAGGTATAGGACATAGTACATAAACTATGTCTATCTTCTGAAGAATCCAAAAATTTAAAAATATACAGGGTGTTATATTTAAAATAAGAAAGTTGGTATTGGCCACTGCCACTGTTACATGACCCTCTATACATGACCCTCTATAAAAAGTTTTTGTTAAACCAAATGCGCAACTAAAAATACCAATCGAAGTGTCCGAGCGTTTTTCCGAACACTCCCCCATTTATTTATTACCGAATTTATTCCATTTGGCTGTTCCACACTGTATAGTAAGGGAAGTGACAGAAAAATTTGGCAAGATGGAATTAGATACATAATTGTCCATGGTGGCAATGAAGAAGGGTTTATAAAAAATGTAGACCTCATATTTAAAAGTTAAACAAAAAGCGAGGATTACCATAATAATATGAACACAGAAAATTTTGAAAAATGATTTAAAATTTATACCTAGTCTGGAACATCCTTCTTTGATTATAATCGATAATGTCAGATAGCATTCGTGGTACGTGGACTCAGTTCCACGTTACAGTTGGACAAAAGATAAAATGGCAAAATGGTTGCAGGAAAAGAACATTAATTATCCAATCAATGGTATGAAATATCAGATTTGGGAAGTTTTAGGTACGTCACAATCTACCATGATAAGAATTCCACCTAGATAGATATGGGCATAAAATATTAAGAACTTCTCCATATCACTGCCAATACAATGCGATAGAGATGATGTGGTCACAGTGCAAATGGTTTTATGACGAAAACATTTTAACAACAAAGTCGTCACCGAAAGATGTATGTCAGACTTGGTCAGAAGCTTTAAATAATGTTACCGATACTCAGTGGGACAATTACCTATGTAAGACACTAAAAACATAATTGTTTCATAACAAATACGGGAACAATACAGGCAATTAGATGTTTCTGATCTACACTTTTTCCAATTGTAGCTCTTAATGTGCCAATTATATTTCCAAATAGGCATTTGAATTTCATAAAGCATCATTTGAATTTCCAAATTGTCATTTGAATTTCATATTGTATCATTTGTATTTCAAAAAGTATTAAATTAATTTCAAAAGGTATCAGTTGTATTTCAAATTGCTCATTTTAATTTCTAAAAGTATTAAATGTATTTCGAATTAATCAAATTAATTTCAAAAATAAACATTTCAACTTTCAAAATTGTAATTTGTATTTCAAAATATATCAAATGTATTTCAAAAAGTGTCACTTGAATTTCAAAAAAATTATACACCTAGGTTTGTATTGAACTGTGATAAGTAATTAATGTTACTATTTTTTAACCACCCTGTTAGGACCCTCCTGCCAGTTTGACATAAAATTAATACATCCATGTAATTTAAACGTGAATTAGAGCCACAAAATGAATTTGAAAGACAATTGTTGTTTCTGCCGAGTTTCGATGTTGAGAGATAATGTGTTGAGTTCTTCCATGCATTTTTTTCATGTAATTGGCACAGAGAGAATCATCAACATAGCAGATGCCTGTTGCCCTTTACGTAGAATCATTCTGGTGGGGAACGAACCTTATGAAAGAAAAAATTACAAGAAGCATTCAGATGCAAATAGGGAGAGAATTGTTACATGTGCTAATAAAGGTGAAGATTGGGTTAAATTGGTACCTACGTTAAATATAACGTTTCACAAAGTCTACGAATGGATCAAATCAGGTCGTAGCCACATGCTAAAAAAAGGAGGTAAGGAACCAAGAATTCTAACTGAACAGCAGACAGCAGGTAGATGTAATTATTGAATGGGTCGAAGAAGATTGTTCGAAAATATTAAAAAGGCTGAAAGAAAAATTGTTAGAAGAGTTCCATGTGACAATCTGCCTTTCCACTTTGGGTAACTACCTAGAAGGTAGAATATTTACATTAAAACAAGTACATAAGCAGCCTGTAACAATGAACATTAATAATTACATCCAACTGGGTAAACAAATAGTATGGATCGATGAGACAAACTTCAATCTATTTTGTCGTCGTTGCTAACAGAGCCGTACACTTGCTACTAGCTGCTAAATGTTCAATTAATTTGAGATATTTCAGCAGTAGAAGTTGTTGCAATGGACCGCCGTCGCGGCTCTTTAATGCAGATACCGCTAATGATGGATTTTACAAATTTTGCAACAATGGGAAAATGGTGAAAATTAACTTGTTGATTTGGTGATAGTGCACGATAATCCTACATGTCATTCCAGATTAGAAACAGCAACTGGTACTGAAGTAACTCTTTTGAGATTAGCACCCGATCGAGACCATTTGGTCCAAGATAAAAAGCTTCGTGAAGAATACCATGGGCATTCCAGATGTCGTTGCTCCTGGAGTTATAAAACAAAGGCTGGTTTACTTGGAACATATTGTGGACGAAGTGAAAAACACGATTTTAGGAGGTGATTGCGCTCTAGCGGTACAACACTCCTCGACTTTTCACGGACCAGCCTAAAGCTAAACATTAGAAGATATGCCTGTTGGACAATAGCATTTCGTTTAAAATTGTTTGTTGTATATTCATATAAAAAGCTATAATTATAAGTGCGGAATGTTCAAGTATACTGTAGTATATTCTAATAGGATTATGTAGATTAATTTGGAAATAAAAATGTTTTGAAATTAAAATAATTAATTTTGATATTGAAATGGAATTTTTTGGAAAACATTTGAAATATATTTGACGACTTTTGAAATTAAATTGATAACTTCAAAATACATTTGTTACTTTTTTAAAATAAATTGACTAATTTGAAATACAATTGACGCATTTTAAAATTGAATTGCTAATTTCGAAATACATTTGATACTTTTATAAATTAAATTGACTAATTCGATATGCAATTTTACTTTTCGAAATTAACGTGACGATTTTTGAACTATAATTGGAAAAGGTGTAGAGCTATTGATAATAATTTAGGTACAACGGCAAGTAGTGATAACTCTGAATCAGAGCCCAGTAGTCAAGAAAATGATATTGATTAAAAAAAATTATATGAGGTATCCAATAAATATTTTTTGTGCCTCTTGTAATATATTTTTTTAACAAAGAAGAATTTTAACCCCAGAAATTTATCTATTAAATAAACGTTTAAAATTAATTAAAAAATCAGCCTTCAATTATTATTATACAGTGTGAATCATTTAGATTGGAAACACCCCTGTAAAATTTGAAGGTATTAACCAATTTGAACCAATTTTTTTTAACTTATCAGGTAACAAAAAATCTACTTTGGGACAAAATTGAAAATGTTTAATTTAAGAGTATAATACGATACTTTTTCGTAGTCGAAAATGGAGAATTTTTATTAGTGATTTTTTTATTAAAAAAATTATTACGCCACTGGATTAAGAGTGCCTTCTAATAGCTGTGACCAAAATTTTATAGAAATATAATTATTAATAATGAAGTTATGACCACTTAAAATTTGAATACTTACTGAAGTAACGGTCACAAAAGAACACTCAGTAATATTTTTGTTTATTAAAAATAAAAAATACCAATAATTTAAAATTAAATTAGAATGCTTATAATATCGCGAAAACATTCAAAGTGACCTTAAAGTTTAATATTATTACACCGCGACCGTGAAAACAATTAGCATCTTCGTTTTATAACAATTAAAATGTCTAAGTAGCAGAATATAAACAGGAAACATGCTCGTAAAAAATATATTGACCTAGGTCGTTTTTATGAAACTTTATACCTATTAGATGAATTATTATTATTAAATAGCCAGATGTAAACATATTTGTAAAGTAAACTTTCGTTGTTAAAATATGACTTAGGTTTATACAGGGTGGTCATCCATTAGAATCGGAAGTAGATAGATAATATGAAAAAAGAAATGTTGTGTAAATATTTGTTAAGTACAATAAAAAATGTTAAGTGTCAAAATGCTATATAATTAACGTAAAGTGAAACCTTTGGTAGTCATAGTAAACATACTATTTTTTTGTGCAAAATAAATTAATGAGATGGACGGACTAAAAAAGAGGAAACACTTTTTATTTTCAACTTTTTGAGAAAATATTCCTTATAATAGTTCTTGTTTGTTTCAAAAATAATAATAATAATTTAAATAGAAGTTGCTTTGGTGAAATAATGACAAAAAAAGTTTTTGTTTTATTTTATTTTATATTATTCAACAATAAAGCCACTCAGTTTAACACATTTTTCAGATCTGCGTATGGGCACTGCCACACGAGAGCAAGGGGGCGCCCCCTCCCCGGATTTTTGATTTTTTTGGGCCATTGCTTTTAATTATAGCCTGGCAGCGTTTTGACCCAGCCTATAATACTTGCCCCTCCCCTGGATCTGAGTAAAAATTCTTTGTAAACATTTGTTATGGATTCTTGAGAAACAGAATCAATTCCCTCCCTCATTTTTCTTTTAAAATGTTAACATCATTTTCCAAATTATGACTATAAACAAATTGATTTAAGTAACCTCACAGAGTATTTAAAACCGGCGAACGAGCTGACCATTGCACTGGTCCGTCATTTTTGTCATTGATTCTCTAAAACAAAGAGATTATCAACTTTTGTTTGGATTATTCTTAGTTTTGAAACAAGCAAAAACTTTTATGAAGGAAATTTTTTTGAAAAGGTGAAAATATAAAATGTACCTCTTTTTCTATCCATCCGGGGACATCCTGTATATTTTTCTGTCCTAGATATTTTTTAATGTATATTAATGAATTAATCAACTAGATTGCTATCACACAATTTTTTTTATTTTCTATAAATAATTTATTGTCATTATATTTTACTTAATCAATTCTGTGATCTTCTATAAACCATTAGACTTTGATTTTTTCAAACCTATATATCTTTTTAACTACTTGAGACAATAAAATGAGGGTTTTACCAGTCTTCTACACTTATTATAAGACTTTTTCTGATCATCTGCCTTATTTTGCACACTTCCGGTTTAACCGAAAATTGCATAGACTATGTAGTAACAAATGGAAGACTGCTAAATATTCAGACAGTATTTTGTTTTTCATGTCTAAAACTAAAAATGTAGTATACGTTAACAGTAAAAAAATAAATATGTTTAGGCAATTAAATAAGTTAATTAAAAAAATTAATAAAAAAAAAATATTTAAAAAAAAATAAAAAAATACTTGTCAGCATTTTAAACAGTTATTGACCTAATCATTTTTTGTTCACTTTGTCAAGTTAAATTATTATTTCAAAGGAATTGTAAGGAAATGTAACAAATTATTTTAAATAGATCCAATTTGTATACGAAAATAAAAAAATATTAAGCTATATTTTTATAAGGAAAAAAAGAGACTTTCTGTATATCTAAAAATAAAATAATATAGTACAGTGATGTTATGAGACAGGTACTCAGAAAAAAATCAAACTGGTGAAAACAGCATTTCCTTATCTAAATTAGTTTAAAAATTGTGTAAGTTTGAAAATTGTCAATATTTATTCGGACACTCTGTTCATTTGTTCTTATACACAATTTGAAAGATTGCAATGTATATCACTTTAAATCGCCCTCTAAAAATTCAGAAACAAAGGAGTTTTTCAAAATTAAAAGAAACACGTTAATTTTTATTGGCAAGTGGGCGATTTCTTGTTATATAAAATTCATAACCAGAAATACAATCCTTGGAGTCCGGCAGCAACCCTTACATTATTTGAAGGGTACTTTAATGGAGAATTGAGCAATTTAATTGCGTCACTTTTGATTTTAGCGCTTTCTAGCGGGATAAAACACTCTTACGTATTGTAAAGTCTGACACTTCAATTGAAAGCTAATTTTATTAATGATTTAATGTACCATATAATAAAATACAATTTAATTTAACATGAACCAAAATATTTTTAAAAATCGAGTAATTTCTAACGTTAAGAAATACAAAAACTTTAATCGCAATCAAGTAAAATAACAAATTTATGCTCCACATTAAAACACTAATAAAGTTATCTTTCAATAAAGTTTCACACTTTATAATACATAACAATTTTTTATCCCACGAGATGGGAATTTAAATGAATTAATTTTATATGATAAATCGTCATCTTGTCAATAACACTTGATGTGTTTTATAAATTTTGAAAAACTGCGTTGTTTCTGTGTTTTCTGGGGGGTTAATTTATAGTTTATAGTTGTATAATAAAGGGTAAAACTGAAAAAAAAAAAATCGGATTGAAGTTAAACATTAAATACAAAATGTTTAAAGATTAGAGAATTAGTCAACGTTATAAACAAAGTTCAAACAAGAGAGAAAAGTGAAATCAAAAAGGGAAATCAAAGAGGAGATATTATAAAGTGTAGTTAAAGTTTAATGTATAGGTAAATAGAGAGTTATTGCAAATTTCTATAACGTCAGCCACTAATAGTGACAACGTAATTGGAGGCAAATAAATTCCATGCTAAAATAAGACTTATTGCAAACCTGAAATTTTGACATTAAAGTCCTTGTCCTTAATACATATTTCTAACCTCATTTTAAAAATTTTAAATTACAGTTCATCTTTTTTGTTGTTTATGATAAAAGTATATAATATGGAAGAGGCATTAGAAATTACCATTTTAGAAGGCTTAGATGACGATGATATTAAATATTTACTATTAAAAAACTTCGCATACGAATGTTGGCGAGCGCACCCGAAAACTATAAAGTCCCCACTAACTGCTGTCCTTAAACATCCACAATTAAGGACACGCACAATCTTTATTAAAGTCAGTTCTAGAATGTAAGTGATCTGCGCATGCTCAGATGTCAAAATAAGAGCGGCACTAATAGTGAATTTGCAATAACTCTCTAATAACGAAAATATTTGTCGAGGTTTTAATAAATTGAAAATACATCAAACAAATTTCAAAGCCATATTCACAATATATTGTGACTATGGCTTTGAGATTTGTTTGATGTATTTTACATCTCGGTCATATTTGAGTTTGGAATTATTTCCTTTTTTTAATAAATTGGTTGAAAAGTACTAATAGCGATTTACATCCTTGGTCTTGGTCATACATTACGTCCTTATTATTGATCACATAATCAAAATCGAAAGGAGCATTGGGATTTTTTTTACACCATGGTTTAACAAAATTTAAGTTTATGTCATGCGATGACAGATACCTTTCACGTTTTGTGAAAAAAATTACAAATCGTAAGGTATTAACCGTTAAATAATATCCCCAATAGATATGTTTTTTGTAAAAAGAACCAGTTAATAAACAACGACTATGGAAGATACAGGGTCATAGATTGGTAGTTTTGAATGTCCAGAATCCACACCCCTTCAATTGCGAACCCCCAATATTTTGGTAACGAGCCGCCAATGAAGCAGATGAATATTTATATAACGTTTACCTCCTTTTATAGACATTACAAAATATGTAACAAAAAAATGAATGGCATTTCTATCTTTTAACTTGTTTCTACTAAAAGTACTTCTTCTTGTTCGACTCTTTTGACATTTGACAATACTCTCCCATCTTAGATGTAAAATAACTAGACTCGAACTTAATAAAGGAAAGGAAACTAAATAGTTAATATCAACATTTTTAAATAACAATTCTTATTTTAAATGAAAATTATAATTTATTGAACATTTTTGGACATATTTTATTAAAAATGTTCTGTCATCTGTCAAAATGGCCGTCATATTAGATAATATTATTATTATGTGTTAAAATAACTTATTTAAGGAAGAAAATATGGGAATGCATGCATTAGCTTTAAAAATTCTTTGTAAGCCTTAGTGTTCCCATTAAGACTAAACCAAATTACACCAGTGACGTATCTGAGTATTTTTGTTATTGGTAAAACTTTTAAAAATTCAACACACTAATTTATTTAATAAAAAAATATATATTTCAATATCTGAAATAATAACTAATAAGAGAGGATGGAATTGTTAAAATTTTTTGCAAATAATAAAAATGCTTAGATACGCTACTGGTGTAATGAGGTAGCCTCAATGAGAACATTAAGGCTCACAAAGGGTTTTTAAAGGTAATTCAGTCTCATATATTATTCCTTAAACGAGTCATTAATAACATATTTAGAAATATTATTATCAAATATGGCAGCCATGTTGACAACTGACAGACAGAACATTTTCAATAAAAGATTCGTGTCCAAAGTTGTTTAATAAATTATAATTTTCAATAAATAATTGCGGTTTTCATTAAAAAATTAAAAATAAATTGAGATTTACTGATATTTCCGGATAAACTGAAGTACGCTAGGAGGTCACAGAATAATTGAATTAGTTATAATAAAGTTTTTACTCAAAACTTTTAAAGAAAAAAATCAATTCGATATCTTAATTAATGACGAAGTACAACTCTTGTGGAACTCTTAAGTGATAACCCTGGAAAATATTCAAATTAAGTAATTTTAATTTTAGAGCAAACGACTCCTTTTGATCTTTGCTCGAAAAAATTGATTAAGCTTGATATAATTTTCTTTTTGTAACTAGTTAAACTAAGATAATAAGTTGGAAAACTACGAGTGTCTTGCATCAACATCAAGACCAGCCCAGTCTTGATCTTGCAACGCTGTGTTGATTTTAGACCTTGTTCTTACAATTTTGCAAGAATAAGACTTAGACTGCAGAACCAAGACAAAGACTGCAAGACCAAGACTGCAAAAACCAACACCGAGATGAGCTTAGCGTTGATCTTGCTCTTTTATCGCTGGCTCTGTTGATCTTGGATCTTGGTCTTGAAATTTTGCAAGACTAAGACCTAGACTGCAAAATACCGACACCAAGACTACAAGAATAAAATCTAGGCTGCAAAACCAAACCAAGACCAGTCTCGCACCACCACTAAGTACTAAAAAATGTTTTCTAGTAATATGAAAATCTGGCTAGATGTGTTTTATAAAACGTATGAGACTTTACGTATTTTTACAAATAGGTACATTTAAAAAATATAAAATTTACAAAAACCTATAAAAATATAATAAATAGTAAATATACATTTTCACTGGCCAATAAAAACAAAAATATATAATAATTTAATTACTCAAGTGCGTTGGAATTAAGTACTGAGCCGTCGAATATAATAATTTTGCGTACCAATGCACTCCCGTATCACTTTGTTTCGTAACTTCTAAAGATTGTTCCGACCAAGCACCGAAAGGCCGGCTTACGACGTACCATGCTCTCCCCACTCCTTTTTTGACGTTCCACGCCCACCTTAACGGCCAGAATACCCAGTGCGCAAGCCACTGACTGTCAACTGTCGCATAACATGAGACAACTACATCGTTCACTACTAGCGTCCCCGTCCTTGTCAACGGAGCGTACACTCCCGTCCTTAAGGTGGCGCTTAATTTGATAACTCTGTCTCTAACTATTTTATTATTTGATACACTAACTAATAGATTATCACCTAATTGGATGCTTTGAGCGAAAACTGTTCGATATCCTTCTAAGGTATCTTTTTGCACTAGGTGATTGGGCGTTATCACCAAAGTCCTATTGGAGGCGAGAGTGATTTCTAGGAACTCGCGTTTTTGAGATGCGTCGTAATCCAGGAAGAGGATCACTTCGCTGAAGGTTAGTTCGGTGGTCGAAGGATCTCTGGAAAGGATTTTCTCGCCTATTTGGAGATCGGAAAGTTTTCTGTGGACGCCTGTGGAAGTTAATACTGTACTTTCGCCTGGGAAACAGCCTCCATATTTCGCTCCTTGGGCGGACTCTGTAAAAATAATTGACAATTACAAAACGTTATGTACAATCGAAGGAGGGATTATTTAGTAGATAGAATACATCGTATATCGCAACCCTATACCAAACCTTCCCACTGGCAATTCATTTGTGTGGAATGCCTAATTGATGGAGTATCTGACCACTCAAAATATCTTCTATTTGCCGATGAATTAAAAATATTTACAAACGATGGAGATTGTGATTTGTTATAAGCTGATATGGATTGATTTTACAACTGATCCACAATTAATGCTCCCAACCTTAACACTTCAAAATATTATGCCATTACTTTTTCTAGGAAAACAACTAATTTTATTAATGATTATATGATTAACGGGTTAAATGAAATCAAAAATCTCAACGTTATTATAGATAAAGAGTTAAACTATAAGAAACATTTAAAAAAACTAAATTCTATACATGATGGAATTTCATTATTGGGTTTTTCCGATTTGGGTAATATTATTACGCCAGCAGTTTCCCACAGTAGTGGAACATGTTGAAGTCTAAATGCTTCTTTTATTATTTTGGTCTGTTTACTAAACCTTTTCGTGGTAATTTCTTTAGTATCTCTCCTGTGATCAGAATGAGATGTAAAATAGTATAATTTATGAAAAAATTGCTTGCCTGCTTGTTTGTTTACGATTCTGTGACTGCCGATTTTACCTCCATTCGTCAATTTTTACTGTTTTTAAATAATATTTTGATTTTACAATAATACTGTCTAGTTCCTACTGTTTAAAATTTGTATTGAATAATAATTTATGTTTATTTTTTTTATTTTTTCTTGCACTATTTCTTAATTTTTTATGTACCTATTTATAATTTTTTTGTTTGGGAATAATTTAAAACCTCTTGTAATATTATAATTGTACCTGTGTCAATAAAAAAATTTCAATAAAAAAAAAATACGAAATGTAAATGGTATTTTGAAATGCTATCCCAACAATGTAGTCGTATGTGTGTATTTAAGTTAAAATTCCTACTCGATATTTTCTTATATTTATAATATTAAATAAGAAAGGTTTCATTCGAAAAAAGTTTTATAAGTTACATATATAAGTTTTATAATTTCCCTGTTTAAAATGTTTTTCTATGTAATTAACTTTGAAAACTTAAACCTTCAAGTCAAAAAATTAGTTTTTTAATTTCTAAGGGTAATTTCTGTAAATATGGAGGCAACTTTGCAGATCTGCAAATATGGCGGACTTAAATATGCAAGTATCAAGTTTTCGTATTCCAAAAAAGATCTGCAAATTCGCAATATTTATTGTGGTTTATTACCCCCAACAACACTAAACCCAAATCCATTACTATGTTTAAAAACTCGATAATCTGACACCACGAACTGTATTCAATCAAAAGAAACAGAAGACTTCATGGTTGTAGGATGTTCTAACCTTCTTAAGGGTGGATTTGGATTTAGTGTTGTTGGGGGTAATAAACCACAATAAATATTGCGAATTTGCAGATATTTTTTGGAATACGAAAACTTAATACTTGCATCTGTAAGTCCGCCATATTTGCAGATCTGCAAAGTTGCAGACTTTCTGTAATCTCACCCTAAGTCGGAAAAATAATAAAAAAAAGCCCTTCTACGCTTTCGTAGGTTCTCGATATATTTTTTATTTAACAAAAAAGATCCGTTTTCGATTTTTTGTAACACCAATCGCGCATCCGCCATTATTTTCAATGTTTTGCACCATTTATTTACTTCAGTAAGGAGCAGTGTGTACTTAAATTTTTATTATGAAATCGATATAACATTTAAAGTGTCCTGTTAATATAAAACTTCTTTTAATTTGATTAAGAAATTTGTTCTAAGAAATACCCAATATAGAGAATCGAATTTCGGACACAATTTCCTTTTCATAGAATTTCCCATTGTTTAAAGAAATTAAAATTCAAAATATCCGAAAACGGAACCATAAACTGGGCCTAAATTGAATAAAACAAGAGAATATCGGTGGCGGGTCAACCGGTTTTGGGCATACACACAACACACAACAAACTAAACCTTTTATCTTTAGCGGAGAGATATAAGTTAAGGTTAGAACTTAAAACGGCACCCAATCCTACTAAAGTTGCACCGCATTATCATCAAATGCCAACTAGCCGGTCATTTGTTATTTGTTACCGTTTTCGGTTTGGAGCGGACAACTTGAAAAACGATACTCTCCGTCGGTATAGGCATAGACGTCCGAAACGGGCAAAAAAGGCAGCTGCAATTTTAAAAAGTATACTAACAGTTTAATATGTTCATGGATTCCGCTAGTATGTCCTTTTCAGTAAAATCGAATACAGCGTTCCAATTAAATAACCAAAATGATTATGAATATCTGAAAAACAATAAAAATGTAGTCTATAGCACCGATGAACTGTGACAACACATCAAGAGCCCACCAAATGATGGTATTAGCTGCTGAACTGTTTAAATATGGGGAAGATCTATAGGAATCGATATATATGGATGCAGGGGCAAATACCTAAAGAATGATCCAAAGCAGTGCAGTTTCCACTATTATAGGGCATGGAGCTCTTCTTAATAATAGTGCATATAAAATTCTAGCTAGAACCATTAAGAACAAACTTAGTAATAAAACGAACAAAATAGTATGAGGGTACCAAAGGGAAGAAGAGTAATGGATACAAATTTTGTTTTAAAAGAATTACAAGCAAATGATTTATTGATTTTAAGAAAGCTTCTATATCTAATTTGGCGCGATTATTCATTAGCTGAAGAAGTGGTCACTAAATGACAGAAAAGTTACTAAACTCAAAAAGCACTGCTGAACTGTTTAAGTATGATAAAAATGTCTAAAGAATGGACAAAACCAGTGCTGTTTCCGCTATTAAAGAAAGGAGATGTAATAATTTGTGAAATCTATAGGGCATATAAAATGCTAACTAGAACCGTTAAGAACATATTTAGTAATGAAATAGTAAGAAAATAGTATGAAAGTACCAATGTGGTTTTAGAAAGGGAAATAGTAGCGCATACAAATTTTGTTTTAATAGAATTACAAGCAGAAAGTTCTAAGCACCAATTAGAGACTTGATTTTAAGCAAGCTTTTAAATTTAATTTGCCGCGTTTATTCATTTGCTATACACTATTTAAAGAAGAGGCCACCAAAAGACCTCTGAAAATATTTCACTGATGGAATAAGATTTAGAAATACCTTAGTAACGTTTGAGTACCTCAATATTTAGATTTGGCACATTCATTAATATTTTTACTACATATCAGTAAGTCTCCAGATAAATAAACAAATATATTGCAGTTACCACGACACCTGAAGGCAATTTATATCATCTGATCTAACAAGGTCCTTTTATATCGTCAGGATTTTACCAGCCGATCGTTTATCGAAAAATAAAGGTAGTTTGTCCGATAAAACATGATTCAATCTTGTTTTCTTTTTGATGTAATTTTTTGTTTAAACTAGTTTTTATTAATATCTAAAAAATGCTTTGAACGATTTTAATGAAATTTTCACAGTTTCTTGACAACTTTACGAGGTGTCTTTCGGATATTGTAGGGGCATACTCACAGGTCATTTTGATTTGTTTTTGGCACAAAAAATATCGCCCAGTAGTTTTTTTAATTTTTCATAATTTTTCTATAAAAACTAAGTAAAATATTCAAGCTAACAAAGAAAAAAGAAAGAAACATTGGAACATGGTTTATTGGACAAAGTATCTTTATTTTTCGATAAACTATCAGCTGCTGAAATTCTGACGATATAAACCGGACAACCCTGTATATTATTCCTGCAAAGATATTTCTTATTTTGTTTTACCAAAAATCCATTTATTCCTGACTTGTGTAGAAACCACGATATAAAATAAATTTAGTAGCATGGAAGACCCTTTGAAAATGTTGATCCAAGGCGCCCATGAAAGCGGTCCATCGTTCTTCTGTCTTGTTCGTTTTTTTTTTGATCTTATCTCGGTGTCATTTGCTGCTAGTTTAATAGCCTCAAATTAACTTCACTAGTTCAGTTTATCTAGTTTCTTTGTATAAATAACCACAAAGGGAGAGGTGCTTCAGTTTTTAAGGTACTCAATTTCAATAGATATGTTTTCGTAAGGAGCGGAAAAAATCACAGCTGTATAATATTTTTTCTACACTCACATGGATATTAAACGAAAAAGTATACTATTGCCATTAACGGAACGAATATATTTTATATCCATTCCATGTAGTGAGAACACTGCAAAAAAATGAAATCCACCAATCACAGTTCATATTTTGGTCACCCGACCACTATTATCTTTAAAATTTTAAATAAGTGACAATTCTGTCAAACTAATTGTAAGTATATTTTTTAGTTAATGAACTTAAATATACATTAAAATGACTTATTTGTGTGTAGAATCGATAAATAATAGCATTTCTATGTTTATTTATATTGTAATTATAAATAATTGGTTAATTTTAATAAAACTCTATGAAGTCAATTCAATTACGAATATTAAAAAATGTTTTCAAATCGGCCAGTGGATGGGTGGTGAGAGTATCTTTTTTTTCGTTCATTTTTTTTTTAAATTATTAAGTCAAATTATTTTAAAATTAGTTATTTTGTCTTAATAACCTAAAATATTTTTTTTATTTGTAAATTTTCGTTAGTGAGTCGTAGAAAAAATATACGGTACACCTCGAGTGGATTGTCCACATCGCACTCAGACGATTGAGCACTTTGCCTACGGTGTCGTGCTCAAATTTCGTCTTCGTGCAATATGGCCATCATATCCACTCTTGTTCCACAAACTACTATTATTATCTAGCTATTTCTATTTTGAAAATTTTCTTACATATCTAACGGAAAACTAAATATTTTATTGTCAGAAATATTTGACACCTATAAAAAGAAAATTTCAGAACAAACCCGACCATTGGTAAATAATATAAGAACTACCTAGAAAAGATGTATAGGGTAGTTATGGCTTATCCGATTTAAAAGCAGCTTAACTAGTACGTAGAAGGC